AAACTATGATATACTGTGTGATTCCATTTATATGAAATATCCAGAATGCGAAAATCCACAGAGACATAAAGTACACTGATCAGTGGTTGCCTAGGGTGGGAGGGAGGATGAGGAGTGACTGCCAACAGGAAAAAGTTTCTTTTTGGGTAATAAAAATATTCTTCAATTCCATTATGGTGATGTTTGAACAACTGTGAAAATATACTAAAACCCACTAAATTGTACACTTTAAATTGGTGAATTTTATGTAAGTAAACTCTCAATAAAGCAGTTTTTAAAAATATGGGTTTGCTATATTTAAATTCTTATTAAATTCTAATAAAGTTGATTTTTGCTATCCCTTTATTTTTACTTCTGTGAATTATTCATAAAATGGCTTAAAAATAAGGTCCATTATTCCCAGATGGTAAATGGTGATGACTATTTTCTTGGTATACTGAGGATTAATCAATCTTCTTAAATGGACATTTAGGTTGTTAGTAACTTTTCACTAGTATAAGCAACCAAAGTTGCTTTCAACATTTTTGTTTGTACATCTTTATAAAGCTGTCAAATTATTTCCTTAAGAAAAATTCCTAGAAATGAAATTCTGGGTGAAAAGGTGTTCCTCTAGAGAGGCAGCAGCAATTTATACTTCCAACAGCAATCTTCAAGGAACATGCTTGACTTCATAGCTTAGGAAAAAAAATTCCCAATAAGAAAAAAACACCTGTAACAAAACAACAAAAGAAAAAACAAAACAAAACCAACAAAAAAATGAAAAAAAACAATAATCAAAAACTCTTTCAAATACTTCAGGCTAAGCCTTCCTCCAATTCTGGCTTTAACGACAAGAAACAGAAAATTTTATTACATGACATTTCTTAATTGTAGGTTTTACAATTTAGAACATTCCTAATTCTCTCAGAATGAACATCCCACTTACAAATTACATTTATAGGCAGAAAGTAACAAAAATGCTTAGCTTTCTCTTATTTAAAAAACATATTTATGAGCCAGCCCTCATAGCCTAGTGGTTAAAGTTGGGCGTTCTCTGCTTCAGCAGCCTGGGTTCCCAGGCGTGGAACCACACCTCTTGTCTGTCGGTAGCCATGATGTGGCAGCATCTCACATAGACAAACTAGAAGGACTTACAACTAGAATATACAACTATGTACCAGAGCTTTGGGGAGGGAAAAAAAAGAGAAAGACTGGCCATAGCCATAAACTCAGGGCAAATCTTACCCAGCAAAAAAAAGGAAAAGAAAAACGGCTATAGCTCTGTGCACTGAGAGGGCTTAGAAGCAATAATCCCCCAGTAGCAGAAAGATAACCAGTGACTAAATTCTGGTTTCTAAATATGATTTTCCAGTAAAAGGAACCAGGGCAGCTTGGAGAAATGGGCTGATTCCAGGGCTAGCACAGGGAGAATACAAAATAAGCCTGTGATAATTGCCAAAAGTTGGAAGCAACCAAGATGTCCTTCAGTAGGTGAATGGATAAATAAACATAAATAAAAAAGCATAAATAATGGTACATCCATTAATGGAAGAGTATTCAGCGCCAAAAAAAAAAAAGAGCTATTAAGCCATGAAAAGATATGGAGGAACCTTAAATGCATATTATTAAGTGAAAGAAGGCAGTATGAAAAGATCACACATTGCATGGTTTCAACTATGTGACATTCTGGAAAAGGCAAAACTTTGGAGACAGTAAAAGATGAGTGATTACCAGGGGTTAGGTAGGAGGGAGGGATGAAGAGGAGGAACACAGAGGAACTAGTTTTTAGAGCAGTGAAACCATTCTGTGTCATACTATAATGGTGGATACGGGTCATTACACATTTGTCCAAAGCTACAAAGTGTACACCATGAAGAGTGAACCCTAATGTAAACTAAGAACTTTGACTGATAATAAACAATGTCAGTGTAGCTTCATCAGTTGTAAACAAAGTAAAATATACAAACAAATACATAAATCTGGGATATCTCACAGTACTGGAGAATAAGGAAGTACTCAAAAAACAAAAGGATAGGGACACGTCAAAGGACACGAGTCTATCTGAAAGAATTTCCAATAGCTAAAACTAAAACAGTTTGAGCAATAAAATAAATAACATAGAATTGAAGTATAACACAAACTATAAAATAAATATACGTGTGTCCATCTTGACATAAACGATTATATAAATATATAAATAAGGGGTGAAGAGACAAAAAATCTTCCGTACAGAAGAATTCCAAATACTTCCCCTTCTGGGAGGTGGTACTTAATTCCATCCCCTACTTCCCAACCCCTCACTCCCACCTCCAGTGGGGGTAGGCTAGACTTAGTGACTCACTTCCAAAGAACGGAGTAGAGAAACGAGAAAATAGTACATTTTCAGTGGAGGAACTTGGCAACACCTTATCCAAGTCATGAAGGTTAAGATCACCATATGGACATCGCATGCTCCCTGATATGATATGATGGGAAGGGTACTTCACCTCCATGGTATTCCTTCCAAAACTCATATAACTCCCGTCTAATCATGAGAAAAACATCAGGCAAGTCCAGATTGGGATACATTCCACAAGTTGTGAAAAACAAGGAAAGACTGAGAAACTATTACAGACGAGAAGAGAGTGGGGAAACACGACAAATAAATGTAATGTGGTACCCTGAAGTGGATGCTGGGAAAAGAAAGAACGCACTGATGGATAACTGGTGAAATCCAAATAAAGCCTGGAATTAGTTAATAGTCATGTACTACTAACATCGGGTTCTTAGTTTTGACAAATGTACCATGGTAATGTAAGATGTTAACAATGGGGGAAACTGGGCAGGAGGTATACAAAAGTTGGCACTATCTTTGCAACTTTTCTACATTTAAAAAATATTCAAAGATAGAAAGTTTTATTTAAAAACAACAACAAGATTAAACTTTAAAATGGAGCCATAAATCCACTAAACCAACACAGATATCTTTTTGGAAAATGTTAACCTTCTAAATTTAACTACCATTTACTCCATTTTAAAAGTCTGTTAAATAAAGTTAAAGAAAAACAAAGCTGAGAGAAAGAAAGCTAACAATTTCTTATTGGAGATTAAATCACACATGAATCTGAAACATGATGTACTGTATATTAATAGTCCTAGAACTACGCATATTAAACTAGGAACATTTGATTGACATTATTAGAAATACTTCATAACTCAGTAAAAAAACCTCATATTGTGCCAATTTAGCCTTCTGTCAAGTTTCACTGTGCACTGCGGTTCACTGCATTTTCCTAGGAAAGAGGGAACCTATCTACTCCACTAGCGGCATTATGATAGAGAGACAAACGTTTGGTGAGTTCACACCTTTCACATGTTATGATACTTCTGAGGGGAAGACATCTTGCCTCTAACTTCAGAGATAAAAGAAATGAATATTGAAAGACAGTTAAGAAAGGTTATCCAAAACTCGGATATAAGGCCAAAAGGCAGACAGCATGTCCTTTCAACATAATATGGGGGCACAGACCCCTTCGAAGGCTATTTAATTACTAAAGGGAATGTACTTTGCTCCATTATTCTATTTACTATCAAATTAAATATCCCAGATTAAGTAAAGTTACATGTTAACTTGCACATTTTTGTTCAGCAGAGTTGCAAATCATTTTCGTCAGAAGAGAAAATTCCAAAGGTTAGGTTTATTGTAACCTAGCCATCTTATTCTAAAATTCCTTCATTAAACGGCCTATGAATACAGAGCTCCTCAAATGCTCTTTCAACTAGCCTATTTTACTTGTTCTCTCAGTAATTAATGAATTGAATAAAATATTTGATATATGCTCACTTAATATTTGCATGAGTCATGTTTTTAATTTTTTAAAGTTATACTGTGACAGGCATAAGGCACTTTCCATGACATACCTGACCTGGCCTTTCCCACGACATACCTGACCTGGCCTTTCCCACATACAGCTCTGCAAATCCTACAATCTCACAGGGCTATTATGATGATAGTTTTTCTGCATGATAATACTGTCAATTATTTAGTTATTGGAATTATCAAATAACATCTTTCTGTCTCAAAGATAAGTGAGAAAAGAATCTAAGTAAAAACATGTTATTTTTATGACCATCTCTATTTCACCATTCACTTTGCATCCTGTCAGTAAAGTATATAAAAAACAAACATCAACACTATTCTATACTACTTCTCCTGAATTTTCCCACCTGCGCATTTTAAAAACAATGGGAAATGCACAAAGATTCCCTTGTTTTCACTGGAGCCATTTCCTGAAGAGATTTTTAAGTCTCAATCTCTGTATGAGATAACAAAGATATATAAAGAAGACTGAGTACTTGCTGAGTTAGCATTAAGAAATTACCCACAGAATCACAGAATAGAAGATTTAGATGGGACTTTAAAGATCTTCCTGTCCAATCCTCTGTGTTAAAGAAAAGGAAAGTTGGGCCAAAAGGAGTATAGTGACTTTTCAGAGGTCTGAGAGTGGCTAAAATTAATGCAATCTAACTTCTAAGACTTTCTAAGTTGCCATACGCCTGTCGTGATGGCCCTGTGGGTTAATTTTCTTAATTTAGACAAATTAGCAGAAAAATTTTTCTTCCATCTGTTCCAGGTACCTTTCTTCTTTAAATGATAGGGGCTAATACCTAGTTGAGGTGTAAACTATAACTGCTTTTACTTTCATAAACATGATTAATTATAGTTAAATCTTGATTACATATTTTGAGATTTAAGCAAAAAAAGATTAGTAAAAAGAAAAGAAAATCACAACTTCATATTTCCACTGTTACATTTTTCATTAAAAACAAAAGTCTAGACAAATGTGGGTTTTTTTAAAGTAAGAAAATTGGATATTGTCAAATTGTCAATCTCAATGTACTTCTGGTGAATTCAAGTGGACTAATCATAAACATGAATTTCAATTTTCAGGTTTTAGCATTGGGAAAGGAAGCATTATTGCATCTCACCCAGCCCATAATCAGTAGTCCATTAAAGCAAAAGAGAAAATAAAATTCCGTACCCTGACATCACTTCTAGGTGAAGCTGTCCCGAGACAGTTAAGAAAGCAGGAACATTGAAGAAATTCTCCTCAGGGACCTTTACTTTGCTTGAAGGCTGCAAACGAAAACCACAAAAAGCTATTACATGTTTTGCTCTGCTTTCTACAGCCACATATGCACCACAACTAAAGACCATAATGCAATGAAACATATGTGAGGACAGGTCATCTCACGAAAATAAGGGCAGTTCTCAGCACACATCTTTAAAAGAGAAAATGCCTGCTTGGGAATTGCTCGGGTCCAGGAATTTGTTCCATATTTCCAAAACATACAACTACCAAAGGACAAAGTACTTCTGTCACGAAATACAATTCTCCTTAAAAAAGATTTTATGAACTAAAAATTTTAAATGGGGAGAATTACATAATCTCTTAAAGTTTTGACTCATGATTGAGATTTAAATTTCTCAAGGGAAGAGACTTTAGAACATGAGTTGTCATATTAGGAAGCTGTTAATAATCATAATTTTAATACAGCTCTTTATAAACTTTTAAACACATTATTTCATTTAATTTTCACCACAACTAGGAGGTGAGAACAGGACCCTATCTTTAAAAGAGAACATGAGCAATTAGATTTAAAGATTTTTATAAACTTACACTATAGATAAGGTGCAAACAGTATTTGAAAAGGGCAGGAAACAAGCCAGCTGATATTTATAACAAGTAAGCTAAAAAAATTATTTGGAGGTCAAACACAATTTAAATAGCATAATTAAGAAAGCCTCTGGATCAAGTTATGGCTATTATACCCTTTTATGGGAAGGAAGCTAATTTACCTACTCAAATTTCAAATTGTGCATTTATTGAAAATGTTTTTGTGTAATGCTGCAGTTACTGTAAAAGCAACAAAGCCAATTTTAAATATGCAATAGAGGATATAACACTCCTTTTAAGAGACTTAGTACCAAATATTGAGTTACAGAAACAAATGAAATGAAGGATCTTATTTAATTCCATTGGTTGTTCTAAAACTATTGCATATTATGTATAGGGGTGTGTGTGTGAATGAGAAATCTACTGTAAAACTTACCAATTGAAATCATTTATTTATTTTGTAATCATTTATTTTTTTTTAACTTACTTTGATACTGGTCCCAAATGTCCTATCATTGCTTTCTTAAAATCTATCTTTGAATCCCATTATTACTGAAAGGATATTGTTTCCCCTTGGAAACAACAGTCTTAAGTATTTAAGACTAAAATATTTTATCTGACCAACAAAATCTCAAAATTAAAGATGCGTTCTCTGTTTCTTCACTATTTACTAAATAATTACTTTTCAAATAAGGCCCAGCACATTTGCAAGAATATTATACTTTCTCCTTTCCTTCACCTCTTTAGTTTACAACTTGTAGCGGTGTTTTATCCTGACTTAAAGTGATTTCTCTCACTCACTGTGCATATAAAAAAGTCTAGCCTTTATGATTAGATTTTAGTCTTTCATTTATTAGCATTTGTACAAAATGGAATCTGACCTTCTCACATCTCTGAAATCCAACTTATTTAAACAGGTACAAACATATCGCTACTTCATTATGCTTTCTTCAATGTCATAGGAAAGCACTTACTGAAATTCAAACTACTTTGTCATAAATTATTTCCTTTTATTTCTCCTTTACATTACAATTAACACATTACATTGATTTTTTAAAAAAAATTTTGTGTGTATTAAGTTATATTACCTACAAATTTTATTTCAGGATATTAAAAGGACATTATAAAATATTGTTTTAAAAAGTAATTGCTGAGAGTGACATCAGCAAAAATAGTAGGATAGGTAGCTCTGAAGGCCTGTTCCTCCACAGGAAAACTGAAGATAGTGAGTCAAAACTGTCAGAATCAACTGTGGAAACTCTGGAAAATAGTCAAAGGTTTATAGCAACAAAATGAATGCTGAATCAAGAAAGAGGAAACTTAAAAATGGTAGAGTCCACTCAACAACAGTAGACCGCACATTCTTCTCAGGTGCACATGGAACATTGTCTAGGACAGACCATATGCTAGGACATAAAACAAGTCTCGATAAATTTAAAAAGATTGAGATCATACAAATTATCTTCTTTGACCATAATGAACGAAACTAGAAATGGTGCAGTTACTTGGGAAAAAGAGTTTCAGATGGTTCCTTAAAAAGACAAACAAGAATAATCTACCAATTCTACTCCGAGGTATAGACTTGAAAGAATTAAAACCAGATACTCAAATAAATGCTTGTACATTAATGTTCATAACAGCACTATTCAGAACAGCCAAAGGTGGAAACAACTCAAATGTCTATCAACAGATAAACGGATAAACAAAATGTAATATATACAAACAACAGAATAATATTCTGCAATTAGACGGAATGAAGTACTTACATATGCTAAAACATGGCTAAACCTTGAAAGCATTATGCTGAGTGGAAAAAAAAAACGACACAAAAGGTTGCATATTGTATGATCCCATTTATACGAAATATCTAGAACAGTAAATCCACAGACTGACTGGTGAGAGCCATGGTCTATGGGGAAGGAGAAATGGGAAGTGACTACTTAATGGCATGGATTTTCTTTGGAGATAATAAAAATATTTTGGAACTTGACAGAGGTGGTAGTTCTATCACATTGAAAATGTACTATATGCCACTGAAATGTACCCTTTAAAATGGTTAATTTTATGTTATATGAATTTCACCTCAATTTTTAAAAAAACATATACAAACAAGTAATTATTGGATTATGACAGGGTCAAAGACTACTAACACAGGATTGCAAATTTAAGATTCAAAATCTTAAATACTTCTGTTAGTAATGAAGAAAGAATAAAAATATATGAATTAAGCATCTAACTTTGTGACTTTGCCAATGCGTAAGGATTTATTTAACAAGATCCTCAAATTGCGACTGATAAATTGAAAAACTGAAAAATTTAACTATGTTAAAATTAAGGATTTCTATTTAATAAAAGAAGATATAGGCAAAGTTAGAAGAACTACAGCTTAAAAATAAAATATTTTCAACATCTAAAAATTGACAAGTGATTAATGGACAGAATATATAAGGATCTCCTGCCAGGAAACAAAAAAGAGAAAATAAGCTGACCCCAACTGGGCAAGGGATATGAAAAGTAGATTTACAGAAAGGAAAATTCAAACAGTTAAGATACATAAAGAAACACTCAAATTCACTATGAAGTAGAGAAACACAAATTAAAATGAGCCATGTTAAGAATTCATCACATATATCAGACTGCCAAAGATCAGAAAGCAGTACAATATGAAGTGTAAGTGTAAATGCAGGATGTGGTAGGCAGATTGCTAAGATGCACCCCAAGATTCTCAGCCCCTGGTTTATTTAATCAACCACCAAGCCAGGTAGTGATACGAAGAGATTTTGGAAGTTTAATTAAAGTTCCAAATCACATGGCCTCAAGATTTGGAGATTTTCTGAGTGTTCCTGACCCCATCACGTGAGCGCTTTAAAAGCAGAAAGTTCTCTACAGCTGGTTACAGAAGAGGAAGTCAGAGATTTGACACATAAGAAGGATCTGACATGCTGTTGCTGGTTAAAGATAGAGAAGGACACGTAGAAAGGTGATTAGAGCAGTCTCTAGGAGCTGAGAGCAACTTGACCAGCAGCCAGCAATAAAATGGGAACTTCAGTCCTACAACTGCAAGGAATTGAATTCTGCTGACAGCAGGAATAAGTGTGGAAGAGAGCTTCAAGTTCCATGAAAATGCAGCTGGCTGACATGATGGTTTCAGCCTTGTGAGACCTTGAGTAGAGAACCCAGCCATACCATCCTGGACCACTGACCTATAGAACTGAGAGCTAATAAAGGGGTGCTGTTTGTGGTAATTTTTTACAAAGCGACAGAAAACTAATTGATAGAGAAACAGGAACCCTTAGGTAATGCCAGTATAGCATAAACTGGTACTGCTATTCTAGAGAACTTAGTGAAATTAAGAATGTACATATCTATGACCTAGGAATTCCACTCCTGGATATATATTCTAGAGAAATTTTCATACAAGTCCATTAGGGAATATATATGACTATTTATTGCAGTATTTTTTTCTGGGTGTAATTTAGAATTGAAAACAACCTCAGGCTCCATTACTAGAAGAATGGATACGTAAAATGTAGCAGACAAATACATTGAATATTCTGTAGCAATGAGAAGAGACAAATTGATGTACCCACAGGAACATGGATAGAATTTCAAAACAAATAGTTAAACAGAAAAAAGTAGGAAACAAGATACATAATACATTATCATTAACGTAAACTAAAACAACATGCACACAAAAGATCACTCATATTTTATGAGGCTACATACATAATAAAAGATATATCAAAGATATTAAAGTGAGTACTTCCAAGAGGGAGAAGAATACACAGTGGGAGTGGGTATTGGGTTAAGGGGAAAAAATAAAACAAGAAAGGGGCTACTTTGGATTGTGTTTTGTCAGCTTGGCATTACTGCTCCCATCTAAACTGAGGACTCTGTTTCCTAGAATCCCTTTTCCTGCACGGTTGCAGGTTACAGTTGGCCATCTATTGTTGGAGAGGAATGTGCACAAGAGTTGAGAGGAGAAAATGAAGTTGAACAGTCATTACTCTCAGAAGATTGTGGCAGTCTGACAGAGTGACACACACCGAGATGCTTGGAGCTCTCTAGTTTCTAGCTTGTCTTCTCTACTACTGACCAATGGTAGTTCCAAGACCCGAATGCAGTCTCAATTGCAGTTACTACAGAGTGGACTGTGTTAGATTAATTGCAATCATGGCTCCAATTTTTCACTCCTCTCTGGATGAGCACCCCTTGGCATATCACACATTAACTCTGAGGTTGGCCATGTGACTTGTTTTGGCCAATGGTATGGTAAAAAAAAATTGACAAAAATAGAGGCGTGAAAAAGTGCTTGTGCATTTCCACATTCTTTTTCAGACCTATACCACCAAAGAGATCATACCCTGATCAGCATGATGGAAGACTTTGAGAGACACATGGAGAAGAGATGGGTTGCAGACTGGCCAGTTCCCAGCCAACCTGTCAGCTGACCAAGCCC